TCTTTTATTTTCTAATGGAGTAACTCTGACCATGGCCAAAATTTGACTTGCGTGGTTGGATCCGATGGCTTGTGATGAGAGTCATAGATGAAATGCTGTTCCTTTTTTCTCTTGATTTTGGAAGCTGCCACAAAATCTTAATTGTAAGAATGAAAATAAGTCACAAGATGAAGAAGTGAAATGTTTGACTGTTTCTTTGTAACGTTAAAAAAATGTCCAGCAAATACCAGCCAGCCAACCATTGTAGTTACTGTCCTGAGGATTCTTGGCAGCTGCAGAATACTTCAATAGCTAAGTAAACATGATTTGATTCCAGAAGGAATGTGCCAAGAAGGTTCTTTGGACCCTAAGCTACAAGCTCAAAGAAACTATTCAGTTGCTCCATAAAATGAGGTTCAACCCTTAGTGCTGCCACACCTGTTTCTTAAGCACAAATTGGATAATGTTTTCTTTGCTTACAACTTAATTTTCATGGGACTAAGATTTTTGAATGCATAGCAAACTTTATAACCACGAAGCATAGACATCTGGGCCAAAAAGAGATCATTTGATTAATAGGATTGAACAGCTAGCTTGTCTTTAGAATTAATTCTCTTGAATGTGACTAGCTTTAGAAAAGATTTGTGCAGATTTGAGGCTAAAGTTTATCAGCTAAGCAAGCTTCCATTCTCTTAACACAACAGTTAAATTGGCTTGATCTGGTGGTGCTTAGCTTGGGGAGATTTTGCTTCCTTTCCCCTAGAAGCCATTTGATAATGTCTGAAAAAGTTTGGTTATCACAGGTTTGGTTTTACACAGGGTATGCTATTGGTATGCAGTGGCAGAAGTCAAAGATGCTGCTAAATATTTTACAGTGCACAGTACAGCCTCCGTCCCCTAGTCACAAGGAATGACCCAGCCCAGAATGTCAGCCGTGCCCTGAGAAATCTTGGTCTCTCCTAGTTATTTTGGTCAGATTTCTTTGTTAGTAGTTTAAATACTGCTCATGGCATCTAAAGCATGGGGATTGGCCCTAGGCATGCAGTATTTATATGAAAAAAAATTATCATTTCCCTAATCAACTGTTGAACCTTTAGTTTTCTGAAGCTGGGGAGGGTGGAGGTAGTGGAAATAAAGTACAGTGGTGATCACTGTTTTTCCTTGAGTCTATCAATGATTAATGGAACTCTGAAGGGGTTGTTAAGGAGTCAAGAGGAAAGGACTTTGAAAATGACTTTGCTACTGTGTCTAATATAGGCTCCTTCAGAGAGCCACAAAATAAAAAAAAAATTGACCCAGAGTATGCCCCTGTGGAACGGTCGCCTGTGTTCTCCCTGGCTCCCAGGTGCGCTCTCTCTGGGGCTGGGGGACACAGTAAGGGCTGGCCTCTTTGTCCAGGTAAAGGCTCTTAAGTTGTGTGAGGGACAAAAGGAACAATGTAGTTGTGTGAGCTAATCCTCAAGACAGAGTCCAGTGTTATTCCCAGAGAGGGCTCCACAGTCAGGCTGTGGCTGCTTTTCAGCCAGCTCTTCCGATCCCCTCCAAGCTTCAGTCTCGCATCGGTGACAACTTATAGGAAGACTTTGGTGGATGTTTTTTCATTAGTCAGAATGACTTGGGTTTTAGAGAAAAATGTGTACATGTTCATAACTTCCTTGCTTTGTCCTAAAGACATCGTAGTTTTTCCAGGGCAGAAGGCTCACGTTTCTGTGCTCTACTAACTTGCTGGTGAAGGGAAGTGTGTTGGGGAGGGATTCATTGGAAGCAGGATGGTTTGATGAGAGGTCCACAGACTTGGGTCTTCATCGGTTCATTCAGACCACTTGTGTACATTAGTGGATGTCTTAGTCTGTTGTTTTGCTGCTGTAAAGAAATACCTGAGATTGGGTAGTTTGTGATTTCTCGCAATTCTGGAAACTCAGAATCCATGCTCAAGGTGCTGGCAGGTTTGGCTGTCTGGTGAGGGCCACTCTGCTTCCAGGATGGTTACTGCGTCTTTACACGTCAGAAGGTAGGAGGGCAAGCTGGCCAACAGCTTCCTAAAGCTCACAGCGGAGATCTTCAGTTTATGAAGGGAGGAAGAGTTCTCGTGACTTCTCACCTCTTAAAAGCCCTATCGCTCACCGCACTGGCCACACCCGAATTTTGGAAGGGACACGTTTAAAGTACAGCAGTGAAAGATCAGGTATCAGAATTGAGTGCATCCTTGGAAATGAAAAATGTGATTATATAAAAGAAAATAGACACAACAAAATGAAATTTTGTTTTATCCATAAAATGGTCCATCTCTAACATCAGCCATGGATAGATTCACTTTGATGTCCTGAGTTTTCAGTCTTGGCCTTTGGAGTTTTGGAGATTTCCTAACTGAGCTAGTTGAGATGTTGGCACTATTTTCTTGTCTGGTGCTACGGCTTCCTATTTATAGCCAAATCCCTTTCATGTCATCTTGGTTTGTGGCTCCCAGTGTGAAATGAAAGGAGTCCTAGGCATTATCCAGCATTGGTCGTGCCCTTCATTCTTCAGGAGGAGGCAGTCAGACTGAGTGAGAGGCTATGTGATCTGCACATGGTCAGACAACGAGACTGGATCAACATCCCGGACCTCTGTCTAGGTGGGGAATGGCCAATCCAGTGTGACCATGTCCGACCTGTGACCTGGTTCTGCGGCACTGTTGATGTCCCTCGCATTTATGCCCATAAGCAGACCCACAGGGAAGGAAATGGCCTCGCTGGGCTACTTTCATGTTCAGCTTTAATTTTTTGATATACAGTTCTGTAGCCGGCCCTCCCTATCTGCAGATTCAACCAATCACCGATCAAGTGTTTTAAAAAAATTGGCCCAATTGTAGTTTTTCTTCTCATTATCCCCTAAGCAAAGCGTTCTTACATACAGCTGCGATTGGAGAGAATGTAAAGGGTATGGGAGATGTGTGTAGCTCAGATGGGCCTGGCGACATCATTATCTGAGAGGAGCTCCAGAACTCCAAGGACACTGAGGGACAACTGTATTTACTCTCCCCTACTATCACCTACATTCCAGTAATCTTCAGATCGTACCTTTGGCTCTATAAATTCATAACTATGTAAATTTCTAGAGGAAAAATACTTCTTCATTGAAAAGCCATTAAGTTAAGGTTTAACCAACCACGTAACCAGTCCTCACCCATAAAGGAAATGCTAACGGGGCAAGCGTGACTGAGTCACAGGCCACCCCAATTCAACACGTGGGTGGACTGGGCAGAGCAGGGCCTGTCTGCTTCACTTCCATAAAGTGGTGTCCATTACTTCTAGCTTTTTCGATATGATATGAAGTCTTCCACTTGGTTCTGTGAGTAATCTTCTGGACCATAATGGATTTTTTTTTTAAATGCTACTTTTCAGAGAGAAATGAGATCTTTTAAATACACACAGTACTAGAGAATGTGGAGAATGCTATCTCAGACACCACGTACCTCCCTGTGGTTTGAGGGTGTGCCTGCCCTGTCACCCCAGCAGCTTGCATTCCCTCTGGTCCCACGTCTGCGACTCTTAACAGGGTAACAGGCTCTGAAATAGAAATCATATTGCATTTTCAGCTTGGTTATTCCAACGTTGTAAGCAGAGCTAATCTGGTCGCAGGGTTTTCTTGTTTCCACCTGTAGTCTAGGGCTGATAGCTCCTCCTGAGCCCTAGCTGCCCTGTTACAGAAAGGGCAGCACTAATGTGGTGGGCTTACGCATGCAGGGAGCCCCCTTGTTTGGTTTTGGGGTCATACCCAGCCCTGGAGTCCAAGCTGGGTTTTAGTCCCACTGACGTCCTTTCCTAGTCCATGCCATGGGTAGAGGGGCTGTACTCAAGTTTACCAACAGGGATTCATTTCATTTGTTTTGTTTTTTTGGTACTGGGGATTGAACTGGGGTCCGTGTGCTTGCAAGGCAAGCAGCGGAACCACTGAGCCAAATCCCCGGCCCCATTTCTAATGTTTGAATGTACCTCCTTTGCAGTTTCACCTTGGCTGTTTTCAATAGTATTTAAAAATGTTTCCAATTGTGAAAAGCAGTTTTATTAGTCTACTTTCATAATCTCTATAGTCCCTAGAACAGAAGGTTCCACATCGCTTGTCTTCCGGGTAAGACTGGGCGTTACCCACCTTGAAGTGCTGTCCAGGCTACTGTCCATCTCTATGACCCACGGCTACCCTTTTCTGCTAAGTTTACTGAGAACTTTTCCTGATGTCTGAGAAGGGCATTAAAGAACACCCTTAACCTTCCAAGCTTTGGGAAGAGGGACAGAACCCCTTTCAGCTGCTAAAAGCTGATTCCAAAAATGTCCCAGGCTCCTGAGCAGGGCTTATGAGAAAGAAGCAGCAAAACCTCTGGCAGGGGCTGCTGCCTACCTGCCCAAGCCAGGACACTATTCCTTGGCACTGAGCAGTTCATAGGGGCTCAGTCTCAGAGGCCCCTTAATTGGTAAGTGGATGGGGGCAGCTGGGATAGTCCTGCTTGCTCACGCCAGTGCCTCAAACATGGTACAGAGTGAGACGGGCAAAGTGCTAGTCTCTCGTCCAAACACCTGAACAGAAACAAAGCTTCATCCAAACCCAAGTCCAATTATCTTTACAAAGCTTTATTGAAACTTGTATGTCAAGGTGACAGCAATTCAGTGTTTTGAAAACAGTAACAAAAAAGGGTACCAGAACTCAGGTTTACCAAATAAATACTGCACGCTAGTGAGTTTGTTCCTCCCTCTCCCAGCAAGAACAAATGGCATAATGACAACTTCTGTTGACTGGGTGACAGGAACCTCCCCTCAGCAGGCACATCTGTGGGATATCCCTGGGACTGTGCCCAAAGTAGGTCCACTGTGGTCTCAGGGATGGTCTCCCGAAGTGAGGTTGGGGTAGCTCTGTGAAGTTGTCATGGTAACACTGCCACCTCATTACAATTGGAATAAAGAGTTGGACAACCTTCCAGCTAATGATGGCGAGTCCTCAAGATCATCCAGCTTAATGGAGGATTTAGTGGCAGGTTTAAAAGTCTGTTCTGGGAACAGGTTATTGCTGAGCACAGTCACATGATCTATGTTCTAGTCGTGGTGACTTATTGCCTTAAGGCTGGACAGCCAGCCACCTCTGGCTACAAGAAAGTATTATTTAGTGCACACAGTGTAGGAAACAATTGTAAAACTTCATCTGGAAATCAGACAGCTTTTAATTTCAATAGAAATGACACCTCCCTGAAGCAGAGAAAGTGAGGGAATCTATTGCTTTCATTTGGAAGGACAGGCAAGGCTGGACTTACTCTGAGCTCCACAGCCAGGCCTCAGTAAGAACAGGCCAATAGCCTTAAAGATGCACAGACGATCAGAAATTTTGTGACTTCAGCCCCTGCTTCCTGCAATTTCCCCAGCAAGGTGGCTAGCGTTCACTTTTGGCCTAAGAAGAATGTCCACGACCAGCTGAGAGGGCGTGTGGTTAGAACGGACCCGACCTTGTGCACTGTGTTTCGGGGCTGCAGCTCCTCCTCTTTCCCTTCTGCCTCTGTTGGCCCTGACGAGCCCCTGAGCCTCACAGCCAAGTGCTAAGAGGATTGTTACAGAACCAGGCTCCCCTGGAGCTGAGGCACCTGGACAAACCTTCAAGTAGGAGTAGGGCCGGTATGAAATGTCTGAGAGAGAGTGAAATGAGAAGTTGACAGTCCATTCCTCTAGTGGAAAGCATGCACGTGGGGAGCCTGGTGCTGCCAGCTATGCCTGGGGCCCGCTGTCGACTTCCGGCTCTTCATATGGGCTTGTATAGCAAGGTGGTCACATACTTTTTCTTGTACCGGTGGGTTGCGCTGAGCACCATAACGCCGTCCTACGGAAGAGGGTGGAAACGGTCAAAGCCGGGATATACGCAAGGACTTGGGACTTTACAGTGCATGAAAATCACTGTGGGGCTTAAGCAAAATACAAATACCCAGGCCCTGCTTCAGAACCTGAGCCCTAGAAGCCGCCCTTTAAACCAGCCCACCTCTCCCCTAGGCATTCCTGGCTCCAGGAGTCCTTAAAGCACACACCGTAGGCACTAATGGACAGGTCGTTACCTTGATGGACAGTGCGTAGAGGTGGTTTAACATGACATGGTTGGGTTCGGGGAGAAGTGCTGGATCACACTGTGAAGGAACAAAGGCAGATGTGAGCATTTAGGACTTGGAAGTCAAGGTTATCCTCACCCTTGTTTCATGGCACTAGGCAACAAAGGAAAGGAGGGAACTCATGCCAAGATGAGCAGCAGAAGGGCTTGTTCACGATGACAGGTGAGCCCAGACAGTTGTGCCCTCCCCTGGACCCCTCTTGCCAGCTGGATGCACTAATGTATATCGCTAGCCAGGTTTTCCTTGGCCCCTGAAGGGCAGGCTGCAGATCTATCTCCTAACAGGTGAAGGGGCAGGAAGAAAGGAGCTATCTGCTGAAAGCATATTCAGGGAATGCAGGAAGGCATCACCTACATTAAATGCTTCTGACCGGTGGAGCTCACACCTAGAGGTCTCTTAAGACTCTGACACTGAACTTGAAGAATGACATGGATAACTGCAGGAGACACTACTACTATGTAAAAGCTTAGACAGGACTGGTACTTAGCCTTGCCATACCTTATTTTTTAGGAGAAGCAAGACATCTGTGGTTCCCCCCACCATGTACACTCTCAATATTTATAAATGTTATCTCCTCATTGTGATTTAAAAGAAAAAGAAATGTGGAGGCAATCAGCAGTCCCTGCTTTAAGGGAGAGGCTGTGCTCAGTCACTCAGCACTGAGGGAAGCTCTACAACCCAGCCTGAAACAATCAAGGTCTCACAGCCACCAAAGGCCTCTCATGCATGGCCCAACACAGGTGTGAAAGCAAGAACTCAGGGACTGAGATGAGACCCGATCTCCCTTCCCAGGTAAAGAAGTGGGAGCCACCTCCACTACAGCTGGGCCTTGTCTTCTTGAGCACTTCTGGCTTCTGGTCTAGGAGGTCTGGGGGAGCCTGGGAGCTGGATTCTAACAAGTCCTACAGGGGTTCCAAGTTTGGAAGAAGAAATCTGTGATCCTACCAGAACTATACATGCTGGTTCTCCAAAAAGGAATGTGGAGACAGGCTGGGAGAAAAGCTCTTTCATGGCTCCAACTCTGCCACTGTCTGGGAGCCTGGAGCAGCACCACACCTGACCTCACTGTAGGCTGAGGATCCCACAGGCTGGCTGATTTCTCTGTCAATAGTACCAGGGAGCCCTCATGGGGAGGCTGTTCAGGGCAGCTGGTGACCGCAAGGAACTGGCACCCCCCTCCCTCACCTGAAGGTTGGCTTATGTGACCAAGGATTTCAAAAAATTAATTTTTAAAACTGTCAGGTAAAACTATAACAATTTACGGTTGGTCACACAGTGTTCTGGAACATGCCTATGCAGTGGAGTGGCTGCGCCGAACCATTCATCTATACACTGCCTCACACACTGATCCTTTTTTGTGATCGAAACACTTAGAATCTACTCTCTGTGCACTGCTGATGGTATGTAGATTGGGATAGCTTACAGAAACAGTACAGAAGTTCCTCAAAAAAATTAAAAACAGAAGCATCGTATGCCTCAGCGATCCCACTTCTGGGTATATACCCAAAGCAAGTGAAATTGGTATGTCGAAGAGATCCATGTGTTCACTGCAGCACTATTCATGACAGCCCAGATATGGAAAATCCAACCTGTCTGTCAATGCACGGAAGTGTGGCATACACGCACATAATGGGATGCTCATGAGCCTTAAAAAGGAAATCTTGTCATCTGCACAAGCGTGGATGAACCTGGAAACATGTTACATTAAGCCAGGTACAGATTTTACTTATATATAGAATCTAAAAAGTTGAACTTACAGAAGCAGCGGGTGGGGCTGATGGGGAGATGTCAGAACTTAAGACAGAAGCAGTAAGTGCCAGAGGGGCTGCTGTACAGCACGATGACTCTTGTTAATTAGAAACCTCTAAGTAGTTTAAACAGTCTCGCTGAGATGTTAACTTCTCTGTGCCACAGTCCCCCCATCCATAAAATGGAGGTAATGATGTACTTATTTCACCTGGTTGTGGTAAGGTTTAAATCAGAATACATGGAAAGCATTTAGACTAGGTTCAAGGTACAATCACGGTTAGCCACTGAGTATCGTAACTCTAGCCAAAGTCTGTGTGAGAGCTCAGTGCTGCCTTGGTTAGAAGTGTCCTGATGCGGTGACTCCCGAGTTCATACCCCCAGGCCCTTGGCCAGCCTACTTTAAGAAGCAGTCTCCATCAGAGAAGCCAGCTACTCATGCTTTCCTTTTTCAAGGAAAATTAAAAAAAATAAAAGCAAGTAAAAGAAAAACGACTGTAACAGCTTTGGAAGGAACTGTCTTTAAACCTACAAATCTTTGTAAAACTAGACTTAAGGGAAGCAGCTTCACCTGAGTGCTTCAGGAAGCCAAATGTCTTTGCAATTCTTCACCGGTTACTTGTTTGAGAAGTGGCCAGCCTAGTGCTAGAAGCATGGGTGGCCCAGTAGGTTCTGACACCCACTGCTCCTTACCAGTGGCCTCCTCTTGGAGCACACCAGCATGGCCAACCCAGCCATCAGCCAGGTGCTTGGTGCACAGTTGGCAGAGAGGGGAATCTGGTGCCCAAGAAAGGCGTCTCACTGGGACAGGTAACAGAAGTGAAGACTGCCCGGTGGGCCCAGCACTGACTGTTAAAGTGGACAGCCACACACATACACAAACATTCAGCCCCTCTTAGCGCAGGTCCTCCGGCTGGGGGTGGGGTGCTGAGCAGCACGGTTACTTTAGCACCTATGGTTGAATGTACCCTGAAAAGTTCATGTGTTGGAAAATTCATCTCCAGTGTGATGAAGGAAGCGGGGCCTAATAATAGGTGATTAGGTCGTGAAGGTAGAGCTTAGATTAATGTTACCATGGAAGTAGGTCAGTTATCTCAAAAGCAAATTGTTACAACATCGCATCCCTTTCTACCTTCTGCCATGGAACAGCATGGCATGAAGGCCCTTGGCAGAGGCTGGTGCCATGCTCTTGGACTTCCCATTCTCTCGACCCATAAGCTAAATATATCTCTTCTTTATAAATGACCCAGTCTCAGGTTCTGTGTTACAGCAACACTAAGCACCTTAAACACAGATGCCCCTTAGTTGGTGGCTTGAACCAAGCCATAATTCCGGAGCTAAGAGGAATGGACAATCTAGATGAAAGAGAATGGAAAACTAACCACAAGGAAGTAACTGGCTGTTCTTTAGGACGCATACTCCTTTTCTGTAATACTACTTTTCCAGAGGACTTCACAATTTTGATCCAAGAGCATTAATGTTTCTGAAAGCAACTTCATGATTACAACTACGTTCTAAAATATGGAGACAAGAGGAAGAGCTCTAATAAGTACCTCACTATGAAGGTATGTTCATGAAATTTAAATGGAATGGGGCTTATGCTGGAGCAGGAGAGAAGGGCAAGGTAGAAAAGTTCCTCCTATAAGCAGGCCCTCCACTGTCAGAGGTGGACCATGACATGACAGTGTACACCAACGGTGACAATGAGCCACTGACCAGAGGCTCTGGGAGAAGTGGACCTAAGGAGTAGATAAGTATGACCACGAAGGATGACGGGCCTTGTACTCACAGAAATCCCAGTGTCCTTGTTCAGGATGACCTGGAGCAGGTGTGGTGGGAGAATGGGTGGTGCTTTAAACCGCTCTTCTGGTTTGGACACATAGGGCTCCTGATGGTAGGGTCCGGGTGGGGAACTGGACAGCTCTGTTGGGAGAAGGGAACAGGGCATTCTGAAAATCAGCTCTGGGAGAAGTCTCATTTAATTTATGACGTTGTCATCTAGCTTTCCTTGTCTCTTGTTTCCTCAATATATATCATATTCTTTTGAAAGACACAGAGGCTCCAAAAGTGAAGAAGAGCAGAAATGAGAAAACCCTCCTGGAAACTGCGTGACCGGAATAAAAACCAGTAGTGAACTCAGATGACCTGGTGGACGATGGAAGTTGGGCAAAGGCTGGGAGCGTGGGCCAGACTAATAAGGCAGCTTTTCTCAGTCACTTGGCCTCGCATGTCTACAGAATGCTCTCTGCTCACTCTAGGCTGGGCTGGCAAATACCACAAAGAAGCTCAAGGCTCCAAGAGAGGATGAGCTGGCTAATCCTGAGTTAGGAGCACTGCCAGCCAGAATAAAAGAAGTTTTTTCCTAAAAGCTCTTTGACCCTATCACACTCAGGTTTCTCCCAAGCTCTTGCCTGAGTATCTTGATTACAGAGATGATAAAGAAACTTCTGGACAGGCAGGGTTACAAGCTGAGGCAGTTCATTCAGTGATGTTTGGCCAGCTGGAAGGTACTGAGCCATTATTCAAAGAACACTGGGGATGGGTTTCTCGCCACCTAATCCCTGGGCTAGTTCAGAATATACCTACTAGGCCCTGGCTCTGCCAATTCCCTCAATGGCATTTTCTAGGGACAGGTTCCTTTCACGTCATCCAACCACATCACAACAGAAAACTGAGAAAAGCATTAAGTGCATTATGAGCCACAGAGAGTAAATATATATTTTAAGAAAGTTGTGTCTAATTATAAGCTCCTGAGAGTTTGAGGTTGGTCTATCAACAGTGAGGAGTCTGTTTTCTTTCCCCAGGTGATCTATATTGCAGGAGTGTGACTGAAAGCTTTGGTATGTGACCTGAAATTACATTTGTCAGCAACTAGCAGGACATTTGGGTACTTCCACCATGTGCTCCAATTCTTTCCTAGCTGAAAAAAGGAGTAGGCGATCTTGCCCAAAGATGAGTTAGCTATCCAAAAACAAAGAACACTATTTTGGGGTTTCTAAGTCCTGCTTAACGTGATTCGTCAGCCACAGCAAGCACTCCATGGTCAATTAACCACTGTGATTGCTGGACTCATAACCATAAGAGAAACTGGTGGCAGAGCCGCTAGGCCCAGCCAGGTGATGATGAAAAATCATTCTGTAAATGGAAGCGAATCTATTTCCTTAGACTGCCAGACACAGTCCTGGGGAATCTTTTCAGTGCTTCCCACAGGGCCCAGGAATTGTTTAAGCTTTTGGGCACAACAAGGCTGAGTTACAATCGGCACTGACACTTCAGATTACAACACACTCATCTCTTGGAATTGTACATGTAATGATCCAGGGAGTTTCCACCTGTGAGGTTTGGATGGAAAGCAATTTACCGAAATGTGGGCAAGTTTTGCTAGGATCACATTGAGCACATTTTCAGAAAGAACAGTTATGCTGCATAGCCTGTTTTCTGTGGGGAGCTGCTTTCTTTCCTTGTCAAGGAGCCTGGCAAGGTGCTAGTGTACTAAACAAGTGAAGGCCAAGGTCACTGAGGTGTCCGCTTATCACCTGTCAGCCTGGAATTCTCTAGGCACCAGAAGCGGGAAGTGAGCTGACAGGTTCCCCCAGTGCTGGCTCTTCACCGACCCAACATGTCCCTACCTCCAGGCCCTCTGCAGCCCTGCCTCTGGCGTGACGCCAGGCTTGTTTCTCTTTCTACTTTGTTTTCTGTGGCCAAGTGGACCTAGTGAATACCTGAGAAGACAAGGACAATTTACAGCTTCCTTGGGGCCAAGTTTCAACAACCTGACCTAGAAAGAGTTAAGAATTAGTGCTGTGGTCCTTTGGAGCTACAATCACTCATCTGATTGGGCAAGTTTTAGCTCAAGAGCAAGATACAAGACAAATGAGAGGATCTGTAGGCTCCACAGCCCCCACCTGCACACATGTGGTACAAAATAACTGTGTTCATACCAGACACATCGGAGCACTTTTGGGAATCCACCATTAAAGCATCAAATACTTCAAAGTCAGTTTTCTTCACTTGAATGATGTTGTTAACCGTGCCAAGCTGGCTGGTTACTATTGGCTGGGAAGAGACAGACAGGCAGAAATCATAACATGGAAGGTCTATGGGGTTACTGTTTAAAGGACTCAGAATTCCTGGCTGGCAGGTCTCATTTCCTGGTTAGCTATCCTACTCATCTTCCCTTACTCATACTTGCTTAGCCACACAGGGACCCTCACCAGCAGGGCAAAATGGAAAGTGACTTATGTGGATTGTGCAGGCACCCAGAGGACCAAGGGCAAGAGGAAGAGTACCTCAGAAGGGTCGTGGGTCCACTGACCATCCACGAAGAACTTGTACTGATGCTCTCCTTCTGGCAGATCCAGGATGGCTACAAAGTTATTGTGGCTGCGAGGAGAAAGGAAGCAGAACATTTCACCTGGGTGGGCTGCTCTCCTAGCTCAAATTAGCCATCGAACAAAGAAAACAGTTCCATGGAAACCCAAGAGTTCACCTGCAGGACAGCAAACATGTTTACCCAACTTAGGATAATGATTATCAATCTAGAAAAGCTACGTAAGGAAGCAGCAGCATAAGAGGCTTTGCTGAAAATTCATTTCAATCACATACTAGGAGGTAACATCAGAAGGCCAACAAACCCACCCTTTTGAGTCCCTCGTTTGTGTGCACAGCACCACCAGGCAGCACTGAATGTCAAGGGTGTCAACACAAGACAAACAGCAAGCCGCCAGTTTTACCCTCTGTCAGTCGGCCTCAGCAGCAGAGAGGATCAGTTTAACAGGACACACAGATGTCCAGAGGCCCGAAACCTCTTGCATTTGGTTGTTTTATTTCCTGGCTTGAATTGACTTTTGACTACTGCACGGAGTGGCTCCCTCCTCTAATGTTACCGCTGGAAATGCAGGCAGCCCCTTGCCACCAATCAGTCCTGACGAAACGGGGCACCATTTCTCCCTTTGTTTCATCACGAGTACCCAGTAGTGAGGCTGTTTTCTCCTGGGCAATCTGAGACCGAAATCCATGCCAGGGTGCCAGACAGAGGTACCTTATTATGTCCTTGCTAATGAGAACTAGCGTGTACTCCCAAACAAAAGTAATACAGAGAGTCAGTTGGAATGGACCTCAGAGAGCACCTGATCTAATACTCCTTTGTTACAGTTAGGCTTTCTGAGGCTCAGGTATGAAGCGGCTGCGTAGACAATGTGGGCTCAAATCCGTGTCTCTAAGACTCCCAGCCCAATGCTCTCTCTACTGCACTATAACTACATCTGAAGAGAAATATACAGCTCAGTATCTGAACTGAGAGATGCCTATGACATGGAAATACTCTTCACTAAGAGATGTTTTCTTCTAAAAAATGTGTGCTATGAACCTAGAGACCTCTTGGGTTTGAAGACCACAACTTGTTAATAAGCAAATTATTTCCTTATTCAACACCCATTTTATAAAAACATTTTTTCTATTCACTAGCAGAGATCCTTTAGAAACATGAGTATGGGCTGACAAGTATAAATGAACAAACACTCCCCCAGGCAATTACCTTCTTGTGAGGGGAAGTTTACTCCAGTTGTTGAAGGACCCAGATAAGTAAACTTCTTTTCCACCCCCTGTCCATCGAAACACAGTAGGCCTCGCCTGGGCAGGAGCTTTATCGTTCACTTCCAGATCATGCTGCCAGGCCAGGAATTCCGCCTTCTCTGGAGCCTAGAAGCACAGCAGTTTACTCAGGGGCAGGAAGCCATTAGTGAGCTCCCTACAATAAATTGTTAACCTAATATTGACAATTCACTCTAAAGAGGGAAGAGCAACCTAGATTCAGTCCCTTACTGTGCCCGTTTTAACAACTGTACAAAGGAGATAATTAAAATTAACTATTTCTTAAGGTTGTTGTGAAAACAGAGACACTCCTGAGTGAAATGCTCTGTATAATATTTGACATGTAGTGAGTGCTTCTTAATTATTGGCCATTATTATTGTTATTAAGTAGGTTCACATAAAATAAGTTCCTGACCTCTACCAGAAACTACAAAACCTGTTCGGAAGAAGACTGCAATGAATAAAAGTCTAGCTTACTAAATGTCATTTTCTTCCTTTAACAAAGCCCAATTAAAGTACATGAAAATTTATTATGGACAATTCTAGAACTGTCAACTTGAGAAATGGCGAATCCAGTTGTGAGAAAAGAAAACATTCATCTCCAAGTGCTGTGTAGGTACAGAGGCATTTGAAACATAAAGCAAAGACTGACCCCCTCCTTATGGTAAAGAATGGTAACTGGAATGGTAAGTACCCAGTAACAGGTATTCTTGATTAAGAGAGAAACACATTCTATCCCATCTGGATGAAATAAATCTGGTCATGGATCTTTTACTTTTTTTCCTACTCAGAAGCCAAAGACTTCAGAAAGAGCAGGAGTTCCAGGCTGGGAGAAACACGTAGGGGAGTCTAGCACGCTTCCAGCATCCTCATTTGAAACACTGAATTGAGTTTATCTAAAAGATAGATGCATTCTCTGAATTCTAACAAGATCTGCAGATTACAGAATAACACACTGGAATGGCTTTAGGGGGATGTGATCACTACTTGCAGTCAAAGTACTGAACTGAGGTAGTTAAAAAAGAATCCCTGACTTCTTTTTTTTTTTTCTTTTTTTTTTTTGGGTACCTAGAATATTCAGTCTGCTACAGTTTGGTAGCTTCTAATGAAATGAGAAAGGATGCTACTGAAAGTCATTCACCACAGATCAACTGTAGGCTAAACTTTTTTTGTAGGGTTTTGGAAAGTAGTTTCCTACTTATGGCATCTTGAATAGCCTTGAATAGTCTTACTTCTGGGGGGAAAAAGTATGTCAAGTCACCAGAGAAATATGATTCCAAGTTCAGTGCACACACCTTTTCAGGAATGCAATGAGTTCAGAAAACAAGTTCAAATCACAGGATGTAGGGCCATGAAAAAGGCAGAAGGCTTTCTAAAGTTTGACTTAAAACTAAAACTCCAGTGAGGGTGTGAGATTATGTAATCACTTGGCCCAACACCTGGAAGAAAATGTGGAGTAAATCACTAGGCAGTTAGCCCAACACACAATGGTGATTATTTTGGGTGTGGAGGGGAGCATCTTCATTCTTCTTAAACCTACTTTATTCCTTTAAAGTCACCTGACTGAATCAACAAGTGTTTTTGGACTGGATTCTGCAGCAGGAAACAGATCAGCATCAAGAATGTGGTTGAATCAGGAGTTCAGAATCTTAATTTTGATAAATTAAGGTAGACTGCAAGCAGGAAGTCCAAGTCTGACCTGCAAAAAATGTCTGCTTTGGGCAGCTTTAGGTATAAGTCACATTTAAATAACATGGAAGAGAAGTTTAGCAGCTGCTTGCTATTTCCTCCAGACTGACATTTCTCTCATCCACTGACCTCCACAAGTAAAATTACTTTTCTGTGCTGTACTAAAAAAGCAGGGTGAACCAGCTGTCAGAACTCAACATCTATAACAACTGCAGTCAGCTACTCAACTGTTTTCAGCTTATGTGTGCGGTCTGGTTTGTTTCCAAAATGAACAACAAACTACCAAACCAACTTTTACAAGAGCGCCAGTCTGAGTCAAGGTGAGGGAAGATTTCTCAAACTGTGAAATTAATTATACCTAAGAGAAAAGCAGAGACTGATGCACAATTACTGCTAGCTTGCTTCTTTTAATTAAGAATTTGAAACTCGGTCCCGGAGCTTCCTTCTCCTTAATGATGTTAAACGAAGTGAGTTCTTCCTTCCGTCGGGTGACTTTCTCATATCGGTAATTAGACACAAAGCTCCTGGACTGCTAAGAGGGCTTTTAAGTACACCCGGTGAGAAACCATTTTCCTCCCGGTTCTCACGGTGACTTCTAGAGGATGTGGCGGGAATCTAGTAGAGGGCTCCTCCCTTCACTATGAATCGGGAACCGCAGTCCCCCACCCTCCGAACCTTGATCTCCTCGGAGTGGAAGAGGTCGGCGTCCTCAGGGCTGTCCATCAGAATCTTGGGCCTGTCCCCGTCCTTGGTGCCGCCTGAGCTGTCCCTCCGGGGCGTCTTATGGCCACCCTGCCGCTCCATCGCGGCGCGCTCGCTGCTGGTGTTGCCCATGGCGGGGGTCTGCGGGGACCCGGGAAGCCAGACGAAACCTCACTCCAGGCAGGGACCGGGTACAGGGGACTCCCGGCACCGGGGTGGGTCACTAGGACCTTGGGAAGGGTCGGAGCACCAGGGTATCACGCCCTTTAGAAGAGGGTTCGGGTCAGGAGCCGGGCTAAGCAGATCAGCAAAGTTGGAGAGGTCTCAAAAACGCGTTCTACCCGCTCAGGTAGCAGCGGGATGAAACTAAGAAGCGGGAGGAAAACCTGATACTTTCCTAACAACTCCCCCACTCCTTAGCAACTTCCGCTTCCGGCGACTCCTCGAGTTGACCCCGCCTAGAGCCGGAGGGACGGCGGTGTTCGGCAAAGCGCGCGAGGCTCACTGAACCTCACTTCCGTTTCTGGTCTAGGATGTCGCTGTCGCTAGAACCCCGGGACAGCCTCCTCAGTTTTAGGAATGCGCAGTTCCAGTTGGCCGCTCAGGACCACACCCAGGATGAGTTATCTGATTACCAGCAGGAGGCGCCCGCGTGCGTCCACGGTCTGGACTTTCTTCCCGCGCTGGGCTCAGTGATGACGCTGTAAGACGATTTAGCCCATTTCTAGTTGATTGTACACGTTTGGGCCAAAGGAATATTTCCCAAATGCAAATCTCATAAAGTAACCTCCCTTGTTAAAGCCCTTTGAAGCAGTGAATCTCATGCTTTATAGAGTGCATTAGAATCATCTGGAATGTATGTTTAAAATACAGCCCCAACTCCAAACCTGCCAAATCATGATTTCTGGAGATTAGGTTTAGGGTGGGGCTACAGCTGTGTATTTTTGCCAGTGTTTGAAAAAAGGGTAGACCGTAAGAATTCCGAAAATTTCTTATCGTGCGGTAGCTTGAGAGTTATAAAACACTGGAGTTCCTGGTATACAACAGTACACAGCCTTTTGCTAAATTCTTTCTCAAGATACCTTGTAATCATTTTGGACATACCCTTCCGTATAGAAGATGTTAGTGTTTGTTGTTTGCTGTGGGCGGTGTTTCAGCAGAACGTACACAGATGATACTAAAATATTCTAATCTTCCTCACCATCAATGTCATACTTTTTATCTTTTGTTTTGCTTTTGTGTGAATCACAGAATACTTGGGATTTGCTTGACTGCATCAGGCATTATGCCCACTGAACATTTATACCAGACAGTTTTGCTAAGTAAATGGGAATATGTATTACTGACATATGGTCTCCTAGAGTGGATTTGACAGTATCTATTAAAATACCGATTACATCTTCAGTTTTACATATCACTGTACCTCTAGGAAACTTTCACAGAAATACATGCACAAAAAACTGTAGGCAAGCCTGTTCATTTACAGCATTATCTTCTGAAACCACGATATAATAATTCGAAGATGCACTTTTAAAAAACATTTTAACTGAGTGCCTCTTACCATCAAAGAAATCTTAGATTTGATAAAATAAGAAAAATGGAAAGAGTGGAACACTCAAAACTTATCAATGGGAGAGTTGCTAAATGTGTTTTATAGAATGTGGAGCAACAGTAAGAGAGAAATAGAACTGTGTGGGTAACTATGGCGAAGTGTCTGTGTCACTGGAGGTTCTGAAAGCAGGTGACCTAACCACAGGAGTTAAGAGGATGGGCTCTGAAGTCATCATGCCTGGGTTCAAATTCTGGCTCCTCCACTTAGTATCTGTCACCTTGGCTTCTTCTACTGTGGGAGAGGCACAAGGGTGTGAATTACTTGGGGACTAGCATGAAAAGTGCTTAGTGCAGCATTTGACTCTTAGTAAGGCCTCAGTAATAGTACAACTATTAGCGTCCCTCTGCTTGCAAATGGAGATGGGCTATACAATGCGCTATTGGTGAGCGGAATGGGATTAAAAGTAGATAGAGGGGAGACTTCTATTTTTTAGTTTATGTGCATCTGTATTGTTTGAAAAGTTTTCTACTGTGAGGATGCAGACAAAAATAAGGAAGACATGATTCTGGCTCCAAGGAATCCACTGAGGAGACCTACAGGAAGGCAATAGTACAGATAGTCAAGGAGTTCTACAGGAGCCTGGAAGGAATTTAAACCAGGCCAGGGTAGGGGACAGGAGGCAGGAAAGGATCCTTGGCCCTGATGATGGACCATCTGAATTTAGTCAGTGTACTATAACTAGAAAGGTTGAATGTTCTTGCTGCATAAGCTAAGATCCTGTGGATTACCCAGAGTATATTCTTTGAGCTGTGTTTCTGCTGGGAGCCCTGACTTGCTCACAATGAGCAGTTAGGAGGCCATGAGCTTTGGGTTCTCTCTCAAGCAATTTGAGAGATAAGAAAGAACACATGAGCTGTGAACTCCTTATCTGAACTATGCAGATGCTTCGCAAACAGGAAGTTTCAAGACTTCTACTCCAGTTTAGATAACAGTGAAAGCACAAATCCTTGATATGAAGCACTATTAAGTGTTATCCTGAAGATGCTGTCAATGGTTTTTGATCAGAAGGACAGCCCAGTGACTGGATTTGTTCAGGTGTGTCCTGCGCGGAGCTGTCTGCCAGAGGAGGCAAGCGAGCGTCGAGATTTCACCCGAGCTCCATTCTCCGGACTGTGTGGCCTGAAGGGTTGGGTGCCTCTTTCCAATTTGTACAAATGCAGCTTAGGAACTGACAGTGGCCCTGCCCCTCTCCAACAGAAACAACTGACCATAAGAATCAGAGGTAACTGCTATCTAGAATGTCTATCAAATACAACACACGCAGTTAAATGGTGGGAAACAACACTGAAATTTCAAAAAATGACGTCTTAATCTTTACTGAGCTCAGAGCTTTTTGTTGTTGTTTGGATGCTTTGTTTATTTGTTACTGCATCACATGGAGGTAGGTAGGTGAATTGCCACAGACTTTAGAAGATATTTTTGGGATAGTCTGACTTGTAATGCTGTCAACTTGAGGTAGGATAGAAGAAATAATCCTAGGTAGAAAGGAGACCAGGAAATCAAGAAATAAAATATTGTACTTTTAAAGAAAAACTGCAGCTTTGGAACACAAGCTCAGTTTATTTACTTTTTTCCTTCTTCCAGAACAAACCTGGGCAACTCCATTTCAGCTGCAAATGGGTCTGGCTGTTCCTTTTCCCCTGAAAATTGCCTTTTTCCTTCAGCCCAGAAAGCAGCTGCAGCAGAGATAGCATGCCTAATGCCTGTCTCCACTTCAAACCCATGTGCATGGCTTACACTGTAACCTGGCAGTGAGGATCCATGTTGGAGATCACCCACATTGAAAACAGCTTTTAAATATGTGCCCTATCCTAACTGTCTTGTGCCTCGTTTCTTTGAGCATCCCAAGTCCAGTCATGAGTGGATCCTGTCTTTGTCTCATAGGTCCTTCTCAGGCCTCTTTTTTACTGATGCATCCTGAAAATTCTTTTTCCATGATGGGAGCCAGCGAACCTGCATACTTACTTTACATTTTTTTTTTTTTTTAATGGCACTGGGGATCGAACTTGGGACCTTGTGCTTGCAAGGCAAGCGGCCAAACCACTGAGCCAAATCCTCAGCTCTGCATACTTATTTTAAAGGGGTGGGTTCAGTTCCTTATTTCTGCCTTGAGACCCTCAGATCCGATGGGTGACAAACTGACTTTGTTATATTCTCAGGAAGATTGCAAAGAGGTAGGGTTAAGTACAGAGGTCCGTGTAACTGCTGATGGGAGAGTTGTGCGGTACTGTATTAAAATTTCACGGATAAAGACCTGGGTAGATGAGTATGTAGTGTAGTATATAACATGTAGTGTAACGGTGGTAGGTGAGCACACTCAGGGCCCTAGGTTCAATCCTCAGTAACTTCCCAAAGTAAAAGAGATTGAAATGTTCTTTTAGCTGGGCGTGGTAGTCCATGCTCTATAATCCCAGCATTCTGGGAGGATGAGGCAGGAGGATTGAAAGTTTGAGCCCAGCCTGGGCAATTTAGTGACTTAGCGCCGTCTTGTCTCAAAATAAATAATAAAATGGGTTGGGGATGTAGCTCAGCGCAAAAGCCCTGCCTGGGTTCAATCTCATTGCTGAAATACAAGTTAGTGGACAGAGATATTGACATTGGTATCGGCTGTTGTTCCAAGGTGAAAAAAAAGTGTGTGTGTCGGGGGGTCGCTCTCCAATTATGAGGGTCTGTTTTGGTCCCCAGGGTGTCTCTCTTGGGTCACTTCTTATGTTACTTGTCTTTGTGTGACAATGACTCGCAACTCTTCCGAGCATCAGAAACACCTTTGCTGCTTCTGATTCTCTGTTGAGGTAGGCGTCCGGCCATTCTGCCTTAGGGAGTGAGGGAGGAGGCTTCCCAATAGTAGATGCCAGGGCATTGCTGGGTCAAAGGCGTTATTTTACTCATTGATCTCAATCCAGTTGCAGCTTGTGGAAGGAAGCAAGAGAGCAGGGTGCAGGGCTGCTCTTTTTACGACAACCTGCTCTCCCAGGAACCGATCAATTAATTCCTAGGAAATCTGACTCATTCCTGAGAGGCAGCATTAAACCCTTTGTGAGGGTGGAGCCCCATGACCCAGTTACTCCTCCACTAAGCCCTTTTCCTGTTTCTCTTCTCCTACCCGCCTCCTCTTCCCTCTTTTTCTCTTTCTCCTTCGCCTCCCCTTTCCCCTCCCTCTCCCTTCCCTGTTCTCCTCCTTCCTTTTTAGTACTGGGGGTTGAAGCAGGGCCTTCACACTGAGCTCCACCCCCAGTGTTTCTTTACTTTGAGTTAGGAAATCTCGCTAAGTCCTTAATTACTCAGGCTGGGTTTGAGCTTGTGACCCTCTTGCCTTAACCTCCGTAGCTGTGTTCCACCACACCAAGTTTAGGCGCTGCTTCTTACTACAGCGTCACCTCTGTAGTGGGGACCGAGCGTCCCGCACACGCGTCTTTGGGGGAAAAACCATATCCAAACCATAGCAAGAGACCCGCGTGCCCATCTTTTCTTACTAGACATTCTTGTGTTCTCTCCTTCCTGAGAAGCAAATGCCATTGTGACGGAGGAGTTACTGACACAGAAATAAAGTGAATTCATTTTACAGCATTCTGTCCACAGATGTTTACGGAGAGCCCGTGTCCGACAAGCATTGTTTTAGGCCCTGGGTGTGGTGGTGCCCACATGTAATCCCAGCTACTCAGGAGCCTGAGGCAGAAAGATGACAAATTTGAGGCCAGCCTGGGCAACTTAGACTAAAGTTTTAAAAAAGTGTGTGTGTGTGTGTGTGTGTGTGGAGGATGTAGCTCAGCAATAGAATGTTGGCCTATCAGGCCTGGGTTTAAGTCTCAGTACTGCAACCTCCCA